CACTAGTCTGCTGCATCATCTACTTCAACAGATGAAGGAAATAAATTGCTCAGCAAAAATAACATCTGTTGCATGTGAAATTGAAGAGAACGCTGCGACAGCGTCCGTCCATCGGCTCTCCACTGTGCCTCATGTGCCTCGAGTACCCAGATGTAGGTTAGGTATTGAGAATCACGCCATTCGCAAAAAAATCCCTCGATTCGACCAGGGTATCAATGGAGCCAATCAATGGAGTCCAGCTAACGTTACATGGGATGACTAATCGTTGTCAATTTATTCACATATCGAAAATCGATTCCTTCATTCTCCAGGTACTCATAAGGAAGCCACCAAGCTGGAAGCCAGCCTTTGAACCAGAAACTCATTCAACTCAGATCCAGATCTCCTGGCCCAGCCGACAACTGACGTTTATTTTCTAGCAATTGCTGGCCCACGGAAGCTCTCCGTCCATCATTTTCCCCCAACATTGTCACAATTAGAAAGAAAGCCACCGCAATATTTACTTTTCAAATTGGGACGATGACGAGGAGCTAGACGTTATCTATGACGTAAGATAACTGTTGAAGTTATTGAAAATCCAGCACACCATAAATAAATAAAAACCCTGAAGCCCGTGTCATACAAGCATCGTCAGTCAATTTTGATATCTTGAAATCATTTGAGAGAATGATTTCATTTTTCTGTAAAACTTGAATCTTTGTCGATACTAAGCAAAAAATTTTAAAACTATTTTGGGGGTCACCTAGTAGATATAAAGTCGGATTTATGAAATTTTGCTTTTTTTTAGGAATTGTTTCTGGCGCTAAAAAACCTTCAAGCTTTGCCTCTCCTGTTCAACTTCCCTTGTTTGCTCCACTTCTGCATTATTTACATTTTTTTTTTCATTTGGCTAGAGCCTCATTATATATTTAATATGCGCTCTCAAGTCAACGGGGGACAAAGGAGGGACTGGATGTGCTTACGTGCTAACAACGAGGACATAGCAAATACGGACGAGGCTGCGAGTTTATCATTCGAAAAGCCCATTCCCATACCCACAGACTCATGTATCCACTCTGATCATCGCTACCTGCCGCTTACTTTCTTCCCTTGAATTTCGAATGCTCTTCTTTTGAACCTCCGCTTCTGTACGTTACAGACCCTCACGTGAACGGACTGCTGACTCTGTGAGAGAATATAGCCGACAACGAGGGATGCGGGAGGCTTGGTTCGCCAACCTCAACTACATCGACCGGAAATGAACGGAACCCCTCCTCCCAGGCTTGGAGTATCTCACACCTGAACATCTCTTCTTCACTGCTTTCTCCTACGTGCGATCTCAGATTCTCAAATCATATGGTTCTTCCGTGCGAGTTAATATTATGTTATTATGCATGAAAAAGGAATCTTGCTCATTTTTTAGGGCCTGGTGCGGTCACAGCTCTGTGGAGTATTTACTGAACCAGATCCTGAACGACCCTCACAGACCGGCCAAGTTTAAGGTCTACGGTGCCTTCAGCAAGCCGCCTTCACCGAAGTGCAACCGAAGGCCACCTTCGGTTGCACTGCCAACGACTGCATGTTCAACGGAGACGTGACAATGCAGTAAACCATCAGCCAGTTAAGCAGCCTCTCAAGATATTAATTTTTTCAGTTTGCATGGAACACTTTAATAAAAATTAAACAATCAACTTACACAAACTTCTTTTTGGAAGTAATAATAACCGACTGCTGACCCACGCGAGTCTCTTGTTTACATGAAATTCACCTTCAAAGTTACATGACGATTGGCCGACAATCGGATTATTAGGTCTTTGCAAACATTATCTGCAAGTAATATCAAATTCTGATTTTGGAAGGTGCTCGGTTTTGTTCCCTTGACAGGAATCAACATAATGAGTGGAGACAAATGTGGCTTCGTTCCCACCACGACGCAAGCCATTTCATTGTAAATGCAACGCCTGACAATTAGTTGAATAACTTCGAAACTGTTCCAAGTTATTAATTGCATACCCGGTTTATACGATTCTTGGTAGATGCGAAATGATATTAGACGTGCTCATAGAAAACTTTTATTCTTGTTCCTGACGAGCAAGGGCCTATAAATTCATATGATGACTGTCATGAAGGAAATCTAAATTTTACTCGGTATCGGGCACTCTAATGAGAACTTGACGTAATTGTATATGTGAATTTTTATTCGGATAGTGGCACTGAATTGGCATTGGAACAAAATTAATTCATTTCCCTAAAAGAAAAATTTATACTTTAGAGCACGCTTTTCAAGAGAAGGATTCAAAGCCTACACGAAGTCCTCACAGAGGAAAGAAGCAAAGGGTTCTTGAGGAACTCAGACATGTTCTCTTGCCCTATATGGTGCTTCCTTTTCCACCATGATATGAGCCATTCCGTCGCATATACAGCTCCTGAGGAGAAAATCCGTTCCACAAACTGCTTCCAATCATTAGCGACATTCGTCTGAAAATGCTTCTTGGTAGGAAAGCAGGACATCAGGAGGACCATAGGAGATAGCCTAACCCTCTACGAATGAGGCTCTATAATTAAAATATTCCCCAAGTCACAGCACTCCTACCAAGAACCATACAGGACGACCAGAAGCTTAGAGGAACGTGCCTGCAACAGAAAGACCGGCGCCGAAGACAGCGAATGAGCCTGTCATCTGCTTGAGGGTCAAGGGTTTCCGTTTCCCTTCCTCCCCTTCACCATTCTTCCCCGCGAATCCTTCTTCTATTCTCGTGAATTCGTCGTGCGTCAGCTTGAAAATGATCCCTGATTGCCACAGTCTCAGGATCCTGCAGTGTCACATCATCATTCGCACAGAGTTTTTATTAGTTTCCAACAATACGAATTGCTTGTTTTCATCGCAGATAGGTTCGAATGCTAGTCATTGCGTGAGACCTGGTACGATAACTGACAAAGGAAGAGAGACGAAAGCATACATTTGGTTGAAGGCCGGCAGATAAGCAGAACCCCATTGCATTGCGATCCCTTTATACTTAGTGAAGAAGATCTCCTCGTTCAAGTGCAGAAATTCCCTCCCTTCGAGGACACGCCAAAATCACGCCCTGAACATGCGAACCAGGGGAGAGAAACTTCCTACCTCCGCTACCGTTGACTCGGTTGACCCGATCGTGGTAGTAGTCGAGTGCCTTCCGCCCTTCGATGAAGACAGTGGGGAGGCGAACCGGAGCTGAGCAGACTGCTTCGATCCCTTTCTCGATGCTGTCCACGCTGTATCCGCCGGTCTGCCGCTGCATCTTGTAGTAGATGCTCGCGTACACCCCGCTTCCCTTCTGCAAGAAGATTTTGGGGCATTACGGACGTCGAAGGCATGAGAAAGCGAAGACAGAACGCATATGAAAATGTTATAATACCGCGACCCTCATATGGTTGGACGCATGATTAAATATTCCCTAAATAGCTTCACAATCATAAGAGAGGGATATACTGCACATATATGAAAATGCGTTACAATGATCAGTGGATGTGGAGTGGATCAGCGTTGTAATGATCAAATGTTGATCGAGATTTTTCCTCCTCTCCCACCTGAACTGTCCCAGAACCTGAAGTAACGTTTGTTCGAGCTAGAATTATTGGATTTGCAGCTGATATTCATCACAGAAGACTTTTTCCTTTTCATTGTGCTCATGCACGCCAAGCTCTTATAATAGTGCACATGAAGCGAAACTGCCCAGTCTACACAACAATATTGATTCAATGTTGATGAGTGGTTGACGATGTTAAGGAGATGTTGATACTCGATTATGAAAATATCAACATTGTAGAAACATGGAAATCTGGTTGCACTTCAGTTAAATAAATACTCGACGTCTTGTCAACGTGGCGTCTAAAGGTGTTGGACGAGACAACTCTCAGTTATTCGAACAAACAAGGTTCCCTGACCCCGAAGTAAGATGTCGACAAATCGCCAACACAGCGAGTTTCAATTGGCATGAGATCCCAGTACTTTTGGAAACGATACTTCATAGTTTCTTCGCAGACGATACCGGGAAGACGCTGGAACGCCAGAATACATTCGACAAAAGAGGCAGCCCAACCCAACGAGACCCAGGGAAATTACGAGTCCGGGAAAGAAGAAAGTTCACCTGGTCATATGACTGCATGAGCGCCCTCACTGAAACTCGAGAGAGTAATTCCAACCTTTCATCCGCGGGTTGCGCGGGAGGTTCTACGGAATATAAGCCAGCCTATTATATTATAATTTATTACGGAGTATATAATAATTGCTGCAACCACTGACTGGTCCTCTCGCTTCCGTGAGGCCGAGGTGTCCGGATCGAGAGCTCCAAATGGATTCGACTTCGAGATCTCTAATCCAGAAATAGAATCCCTTTGGAGATTGGGAGGGGGGGGGAAGGGACTTAACATGATTTTACATCCACAGTGCATTTTGGCGCTCAAATGGAGCATAACATGAATTCAACATTTCAGCTTTGTTTAGACCAGGGGGCCAGATCCGGCTCCCCCCAGTCCATTTTGTCCGGCCTTCGAAGTCCTCTTCAACAATTGGTTACGGAAAAGTACTGCAAATTTCAGCCTGTTTGCATTAAAGATTAGATGTTAGATTTTTTATTGTGGCTCCTAATCACTCCCGAAGATTTCCATNGGATTTTCTTTTTAAATATGAAATCTCGTGCGAAAAGTTCTCTTCCTAAGTTTCGGATGTGCTTCAGGAGTGTCTCCTTTCTTCGTTTCCCAAGAACTCCTTGAGTCTGTACAAGAGAACGGGATATGGGTGCTTCCTTTTCCACCATGATATGAGCCATTCCATCGTATATACAGCTCCTGAGGAGTAAATCCGTTCCACAAACTGCTTCCAATCGTTAGCGACATTCGTCTGAAAATGCTTCTTGGTAGGAAAGCAGGACATCAGGAGGACCATAGGAGATAGCCTAACCCTCTAAGAATGAGGCTTTATAATTAAAATATTCCCCAAGTCACAGCACTCCTACCAAGAACCATACAGGACGACCAGAAGCTTAGAGGAACGTGCCTGCAACAGAGAGACCGGCGCCGAAGACAGCGAATGAGCCTGTCATCTGCTTGAGGGTCAAGGGTTTCCGTTTCCCTTCCTCCCCTTCACCATTCTTCCCCGCGAATCCTTCTTCTACTCTCGTGAATTCGTCGTGCGTCAGCTTGAAAATGATCCCTGATTGCCACAGTCTGAGGATCCTGCAGTGTCACATCATCATTCGCACAGAGTTTTTATTAGTTTCCAACAATCCGAATTGCTTGTTTTCATCGCAGATAGGTTCGAATGCTAGTCATTGCGTGAGACCTGGTACGATAACTGACAAAGGAAGAGAGACGAAAGCATACATTTGGTTGAAGGCCGGCAGATAAGCAGAACCCCATTGCATTGCGATCCCTTTATACTTAGTGAAGAAGATCTCCTCGTTCAAGTGCAGAAATTCCCTCCCTTCGAGGACACGCCAAAATCACGCCCTGAACATGCGAACCAGGGGAGAGAAACTTCCTACCTCCGCTACCGTTGACTCGGTTGACCCGATCGTGGTAGTAGTCGAGTGCCTTCCGCCCTTCGATGAAGACAGTGGGGAGGCGAACCGGAGCTGAGCAGACTGCTTCGATCCCTTTCTCGATGCTGTCCACGCTGTATCCGCCGGTCTGCCGCTGCATCTTGTAGTAGATGCTCGCGTACACCCCGCTTCCCTTCTGCAAGAAGATTTTGGGGCATTACGGACGTCGAAGGCATGAGAAAGCGAAGACAGAACGCATATGAAAATGTTATAATACCGCGACCCTCATACTGTATGGTTGGACGCATGATTAAATATTCCCTAAATAGCTTCACAATCATAAGAGAGGGATATACTGCACATATATGAAAATGCGTTACAATGATCAGTGGATGTGGAGTGGATCAGCGTTGTAATGATCAAATGTTGATCGAGATTTTTCCTCCTCTCCCACCTGAACTGTCCCAGAACCTGAAGTAACGTTTGTTCGAGCTAGAATTATTGGATTTGCAGCTGATATTCATCACAGAAGACTTTTTCCTTTTCATTGTGCTCATGCACGCCAAGCTCTTATAATAGTGCACATGAAGCGAAACTGCCCAGTCTACACAACAATATTGATTCAATGTTGATGAGTGGTTGACGATGTTAAGGAGATGTTGAGACTCGATTTTGAAAATATCAACATTGCAGAAACATGGAAATCTGGTTGCACTTCAGTTAAATAAATACTCAACGTCTTGTCTATAGGTGTTGGACGAGACAACTCTCAGTTATTCGAACAAACAAGGTTCCCTGACCCCGAAGTAAGATGTCGACAAATCGCCAACACAGCGAGTTTCAATTGGCATGAGACCCCAATACTTTTGGAAACGATACTTCATAGTTTCTTCGCAGACGACACCGGGGAAGACGCTGGAACGCCAGAATACATTCGACGAAAGAGGCAGCCCAACCCAACGAGACCCAGGGAAATTATGAGTCCGGGAAAGAAGAAAGTTCGCCGGAAAATATGCCAGCCACCTTTATAATTTATATTTATATATAATATATATATATTTATATTTATAACCGCAACCACTGACTGGTCCTCTTGCTTCCGTGAGGCCGAGGTGTCCGGATCGAGAGCTCCAAATGGATTCGACTTCGAGATCTCTAATCCAGAAATAAAATCCCTTTGGAGATTGGGAGGGGGGGGAAGGGACTTTACATGATTTTACATCCACAGTGCATTTTGGCGCTCAAATGGAGCATAACATGAATTCAACATTTCAGCTTTGTTTAGACCAGGGGGCCAGATCCGGCTCCCCCCAGTCCATTTTGTCCGGCCTTCGAAGTCCTCTTCAACAATTGGTTACGGAAAAGTACTGCAAATTTCAGCCTGTTTGCATTAAAGATTAGATGTCAGATTTTTTATTGTGGCTCCTAATCACCCCCGAAGATTTCCATCTGGCCCCCAGCCTAATCGAGTTTGACACCCTGGTTCAGACTTATTTCAACATTGAGCCACCCTTGGTTCAATGTTGCAATCAATATTTTTCAACATTGACTCAACATGATGGATGTTGAAACTTTCCAATACTTTTGCAGCATTGCATCAATATCGTTGCACTGACGGGTTGAGTGCGAAAATGAGACATTCTTTCCCAAAGTCCAGCATTAGCAAAGCCCATATTCCCCATAACGAAGACATACAGAGAGGAGTCCAAAAGTGGAACTGCCGGGAACAACGATAGCCCTCGCATTCCCCGGCCCCAACGCCTCGTTCAAGTCCTCCAGGGTCTCCATCGTCCTCACTGCGGACCAAGGCAATCGTTTCCTCATCTTGCATCGGAAATGCCCGTAATTGTTTATGGTAATTTGATACCTTTGCCTGGGTTGGTGTAAAGCGAGACGAGGCTAGCGTTGATGAGAGTCCCCATGACCAAGGCGTAGGAGAAGAAAAAGACCATGAGGACCCGGCCCGGGTTCCCTCGTGGCACGGGGACATCGTCTGCAATTAAAGGGCACCGGCAATTAAGCAGCATCCTAATCATCTACAATCCGACTCTTGTCTCATTGGCACAGATTCCCCACCCATTCATGCCCATTAAAGGTATCCTTCCCTGAAGCCAAAACTGTACAAAACGCGCATCTAAAGCCCATACGTGTTCGACGGTAAAGGTCGATGGAGGACAGACTCCGCAGTACCGTAGGTACTCTGTAAAAAATAATGGTTTAGGCTGGAACTCTTCGATGAACATCTCCAGCTGTCTCCCTTCGTGAAGCCTGGATCGAAGGTGACGCCTGTTTCGATTAGTTACAATTCTCGCTCCTTGCCTCGTCCAGTATTTGCCTTGACTTCGGAAGGTCTCCATCCCAGTTGATTGATTCGTCATCAAGTTTGGACGTGGACATACGAAATTCAATCCCATTGGACTGAGAACTTTTTGTCATCTCTGTGATGTGATTGCAAAGGAAGACACATCCCTCTTCCTACGTGATAGGAAGAGTAAAAGCTTCCTTTAATGAGGGAATGTGGTATGGAAATGCTAATGCACATGTTGAAGAAATAAAGGGAAATGGATATCGACGTGGATGAATGAATTTCACTTTCAGCTTTTCAGCTTCTACAGTGCCCCTTGGTTTCATTCGAAGACATTACAATTTGCATTTGTCCCTGTTACCTATTTGAATCCAGAAAACTCAATGAACTGACGATGCATCCACCTAACATTTCGGTAGTGTCGAAAGGCAAATTTTTTGGGCGAACTCTTTCTTAACCCTAGGAATGCCAAGGGGACCTCAGAGGCTCATAACTTTTTTCCCCTCTATTTATTTCACAGTAAATAAATTTCTCAAAAAAAATGTGTCAAAAATGTTCACAAATTCATTTAGGAATGTTCTGCTGAAAAGAACTCTGGTACGGTACTGCTTCTTCATCTCTCCCAAAAGAGGGGCAAAATGACGCATAATGCTGTAGATGCAGCTAGTATTTTTTTTTCTATAACTTTTCATCATTGTGAAAAGTCGGGGAAAAGTTGGAACATGTGCGGTTTCCCAACAATGAGCCCAAGTTGGCCCGATGAAGGGCCAACAGAACGTACCCGACCCATAAGCAAGTTTAAGTCAACCATATGCCAAGGATGACCCAACTAAGACGTCGACGCCTTAATAGGGTCACCTTAGTTTTCGTCGACTACGCGTCGACGAAAAGGCATCGATGGCCTGGTTTAAATATTTTTACTGGCATTGAGCAATGGTTCTGAATGGAACCATTTCATTCACAAAGGGTTTTAAGTGACACCTTCTTAGGTGGTTCCCTATAGAACCATTAAATGGTTTTTTAAAAAAATAGTTTCACTCTAGAACCAGTAAACGGATCTACAGTAGGGAGAACATAAATTTTTTGAGTGTAGACTAGTGTTGTCATGGGCAACCTTCGAGCTTCGCTCTGCGATGGGGAAATTCCTCTCACATATTCATGCTATTTCTTTTACTGATAATACCTTCCTCTTATTATACAGGTGTCATATCGTGTCGGACTGACTTTGCTGAAGTGATCCCCCGTAGGCAGCAAAGAAGGCCTTCCACCCAACATCCCCTCTCTCCCCGGCTGCCCATTGAAGTCCAGCATGAGCCAGGGTGATGGCGAGACCCGCAGCGAGCAGCAACGTCCACCCCTGATCGAACCAAAACGACTCAGTCGATGAACATTGAGCTTAGAGGCACCAAATGAAACCTCCTCCAACCGGCACGGGAATCCCCGAGACTTGGAAGAACCCCGGGTCCTGTGGCGGTGGCGCCTTGAAGATGAATCCGTCTGCGTCGTCCAGCGTCGGGAAGGAAAATTCCACGGCCATGTTCCTCTCTTCCGTCTGGGTCGTGTCGTCCAGAAACCACTCGTAATCCTTTAAGAAATTGCCAAATTTGACATGTCAAAAGATACTTAAATGAAACTGAAGTCTTTAAAACATGTTTAACATGCGTTATCCCACGAGTTGAAAATCTGCACACCCTGCCCATGATACGGCCAAGGACGCCAGAAAACGTTCCGTTTTCAAATGTGGAGCCTCTTGTCGTCTCGTTTTGGAAAAGGACCCAGCTGTATGAACATGCACAAAGGTGAAAACTTATTTGACAATTTTCAGGAATCCGGCCGTATTTTTAATTTTAAAATTTCAAACAGACAGCGGTGAAAAAAAAGGAAATGTTCCCATGAACGCAAACAGACGAGGAAATGCAAAACAGACGTGAAGTTGAGCGCTTGGGCGAGCACGACGACTGCCGCGTGATCCCGTCCGCCCGGGTTCACGACGGACCCGTTATCGGCCAACTGGTAGCGATACCACGGAGGTGACTGATCAGGAAGATAAAGACGGTCCCCACGGCAGGTTTCATTAAAAGAAAGAAGAAATAATAAAGCGAAGTTTTTTATAGACCTGCGTGTCTCTTTTTAAAAGGGATTTTTGAGAGCCCTAGAGGACTAAGATCCACGTCGGGTTTAATTAATATATATTCAATATATATATATATATATATATATATATATTAGTATTACATAGATGACGGGAAGTCGAAAGGTCCGGCCCTGAAGATTCCTGTAGACGTCTTCAGGTCGGGGAAGTGGCGGGAGAAACCTGAATCCCCCATTCAAGGACCAATCGTTGACCTTCACTGGACGAGGACAAGGCCGAGCACACGCCTGGTTGTAGTACACGTCCACTAGCAAGCTGGAAAGGATTGAGTTGTGTTAATGGGAGAGATTAAAAGGCTAGTTCAACCTGAGTTTGGGCTTTGGGAGTCGGTATTCCGGGTCAGGGAGAGGAGGATGGCATGGAGGGAATTGCAGTTTCTGCAAAGTGATGTTTCATTATATACAGAATGGGTCAGAAAAAGTTCCACATTTTTCATTTAGCTTTCACATATTCACAAATCGAGATAGGCGCCTGCAATTAATGTCATTGCTTAGAACAGCGGTTCCCAAACTGTGGGTCGCGTACATTTTCCCAGTATAAAAAATCACTAAATCCGTTCAGGATAAAACATGCCCCTGCAGAAAAGGTCGATCAGTTTTCTTCACGCCATAATTACTTTAGGAATACCTCGTTCTGGATGCTGGGGGGTCGCAAAATTTTTTGTACGTCAGCAAGTGGGTCGCGATAAAAGGAAGTCTGGGAACTGCTGGCTTAGAAAGTCTAGACTACAATCAAATACTCTCGATTTTGTGAGAATCGGTTCAGACGTTTTAGCAGTGGCGATTATCTGATTGAATTACGAATAAAAATTGGAATAAAGTGGGCGACAAGCTCATGAGTGATCATTGGCTCATTATTTGGTATTCTCCTATAGTTCAACTTTCCTTCAGTTTCATGAAGGTTAGATATTTTCACATTCGGGAAAGTCTCTTTCGGTCTTTTCTAATTAAGGGCTTTTCTGTTTCAGTAATGTGAGCAGCACCCCTTCCCAATATGACCGTTGTTGGGAGCCAATAGAATCTCTCACTCTCACTCTCACTCTCACTCTCACTCTCACTCTCTCACCAAAATAAAATCTCTGGAGACAAATTCAACTAGAGAGTACCAGTCCAGGTACAGACATGCCTTCCCAATGGTCCCGATTCCTTTGGTATAATCGTCTTCACCGCATTCCAACAATCCAACTTAGAAATAAATAATAACATCCATTGGTACGCCATACGCCTAAATGAAATACCCCAGTCAAAAAGTCCAGCCAAGATAGGTTTTCGATGGTCCACGCGTCCGCGTCGCGTGGAGACGGGTGGAGAGTATAAAGTGAAGGATGCCAGATGCGGCATTTCATGCGTACGCCTAGGAACCCTGTCTACGAGGCCCCGAGCAGCATCTCTCTCCCATTGTCTTCTGCGAACCCGTCAGCCATGAGGGCTGGAAGGGAAATGTTTTAGTGGAAAACGAGCACACTGACGCAGGCGGAAAGCTGCACATGCGCAGCGGATCGTGTTGTCCGGTTGCTATGGATACTGCTGACAGATGGAATGAAAAATATATACAGGGTACAAAAAAAAATAATTTAAAAGTGACAGACCGATCGCATTATCTGCCATTTCCCCATAGTACCGATGGGAATGGCAGATAATAAGTTTATTGGGTGTTTCATCGCATGGAGCGTTGTAAACCCAGTTTTTCTCGAGGTATGTGAAAACCAACATACCTTTGAATTAAATATTCCGAAAATGGCCAGAAGCAGCGGTCTTGCCTATTGTGTTTAGAAACAGTTGTGACCATAGAAGCGAAAATCGTGAATTACGTGGTTAGCCTCTCACACTTATCACTGAATTTACCGAAATCCGCAGAAGTTTGCAGGAGTTTGAATCTCGAATCCCAGTGGCCAGACAAGGCTCTTTTTTCGCGAACGGGCTTACTTTCCAACGAGCAATATCTCTCTCCCCGCTTTTTTTTTCCAGCGTGGAAGCGACTCCCACCGTGGAGAAGATGCATCCGTGCCACCCTGAGAAGAAGCGAGGAAGGCCCTGCGAAGGAAGACGATCCGCATGGGCTCGATGACGAGTCGATAGCCTTCCATCTCGGTCTCCAACAGATCCGGGAACACGTACAGATATCCACGCCGAATCAGGTCCTTCTCCCGGATCTTAGTGATAAGAGCAGTAATATGCTTGAATAAGCCAAAAGTAGAGAGGAAGAAGATTCCAGGAGGGCACAGACTTGGGGCTGGCAACCCTCATGAAAAATTTATAATGAATGCTCAGCATTTCCTCCAAACAGTAAGACTGCAAAACTGCTCGGTGCAGGAGTGTAGGAATGCGTGCCGAAGTGTATGTAGAAAGGGACAGACCATTTCGAGAAGTGACGTGCTGAGTCGCTGGTCCCTGGACACGAAGAGAAGCCCGTGAGAACCAAACATCTTCTGTTTCATGGTCTCCATCGTCGACAGAAACTGATAAACGAAATGCCATATCTACATGAGGAAGTAGTGGACGAATTTGAGACTGATAATCATCTACTCGCTGGGAACAGCAAAATAATGGCACGATAAGGTCAGAAATACAAAATTCGTCATATCTACGGTTAAGAGAAAGAACGTCTTTGCAATATTTTTTATGTTTTTTTTTGTTTTTCCTCTTTAAAAGAATAACGATCCCGAACCTCTCCCCACGTGACGTTTCAAAAGGAAGGTAAAACTGCAAGGTTATACTTGTACGGTACTTTACTAAACGTCCATTGAGCAGAAAAATGTAAAATATTAAGCTTTCTTCCGTTAAAACTGCACGAAAATCAATAAATTTTGGAGCGAGTTGGAGACTGAAAATTTGCCTAAAAGAAAAACCGAATTTTTATTTTTTACTTCCATACAGATTGCTGCAGAGCGACCAGGACTGTGGTTCCTATCAAGGGAGGGGAACGAGACAATTCGGCATCGTTGAATATTGATCGTTGAATATATTATGCTCAGGTATTGGTTCTGCATGTATGCCGTAGAAGTTGAAGCGAACATTTAACTTGGATGTTTACGAAGTCTGGTGCTTTCTTTCCTATTTATTCCTCGATGGTTAAAAATAAAAGAACAATATCAACATGTCTGAGACACGGTGTCTCATCCCTCCCACGCTTGGAAGATTGGACTTTAAAAAAAGATACATAATTTCATAATTCCGAAACAAAATGTTTAGGTCCCATTACATAACGCCTTATTTACTGGTTCTTGCATTTCAATTTAAGGTAAATTTGTCGATCTATCAAATGAGAAATTAATTTAAATTAAATTGTACCTGAAATGAGACTTCCTAAACCATAAGTCCATTATGAAAACGCAGACGTACCGATCTTCGTCCTCCTTCATCTCTCAATTCGAAGGCCTGAATCGTGATAGACTTCTCCATTATGCTATTCAACAGAGTCTGCCTCTCTCCTTCGCCTGGGATTCCGGAATTATTGATAATTGAATCAGATTTTTTTATCCATCCATGAGATGTTCATCTCACCGTAGGATTGATAGTCGAGCAGGACGATGACGTCATGAAAGCCCTCTGCCAGGAAGAATTCTCCAAGGAACTGTCCGAAATCTGCAGTTCCTGCCGGCACCGAATATTCCTCTCTAGGGGGGATCCAGGCTCCTATGGAACGTGTCAAAAAGCAACAATTGGCATCTTGTGAAATTGCTGATTTTAGATTACCGAGGGATAAATTCACTGGTGATGCCTCCCTGAACATAAAAAAAACACACCGCCGCAAGCGTATTTCATTTGAAAGTACAGTGAAAACTCATTAATTAGGGACCGGGAAAATTGCTTGGAGTTACCCGAAGTTCCACTTATCAGGAATTGCCATTACACCCAAAAAAAACTCACGCCAAGAAATATAACCAGAGGGCAATTTTTTCGTCCTCAAGTATCCGATTTCGAGGAGCGACGACCTTTTCATTATAATTCGTTTTCATTCGTCTCCGGGGAAACTTTGATATTGCATGTGTAAAATTATTTTATCATGACGCTATTCATCAGGTACTTTTTCAGTTTTGATCCTCTGGTTTAATCCTCTCCACGGGCGTCTGCGAGGGAGGAGGGAACAACAAAAGAACAAAAAAAAAAAGAAACAAAGGAACTTTCTCCTGAACAGGTTTCTTGCCTTTCACCCTTTAAAAAAAAATCGTTAATCCCACATGAATAATTTTTTCTTCCATCACACCCTGAATTCGAGTTAACTTCGAGTTACCAATGAGAAAATCGCAATCGGGAGTGAAAATGTCGCTCGAGATACTCGGAAATTCGAGATAAGCGAATTTGAGTTAAACGGAATATTTAACATGGTGTCCTACGGGATTCCGCAGGGACCAAGCATTGAACTTCGAGATAAGTGGAATTTCGGTTAATCAAGATCCGAGTTAATAAGTTTCCACTGTAGTTGAAAGATGAGAAAGCTCACCGTGCAAAACCCTCGCCAGGAGAAGGAAGAGGAACCTCGCCTCCATGGATGCTCACGGCGTAATGCAGCTTCCCCTCGACCAGCGTCTTACATACCCTCCCCCCGCTCCCCCCCGCTCCCCCTCCCCCCGCTCCCCCTCCCCCCGCTCCCTCTCCCCCCGCTCCCTCTCCCCCCGCTCCCCCACGCGACTCCAAGGAATGAGAAGTGGAAGCGATGAGTCCGCCCATCGATTCCCTACCGGATGAAACCGGAGGGAAAAGGATCCATCTGGGTATTTACTTAATAAGATGAAACGGGACTGTTGGGAAGCTGCTTTTGTGACGAAGCCAACCTGGAAAAATGATAAGGTATGATAAGGTAAAAATGATGATAAGGAGGCCGTGCTCCACCTTATAGCACCTCTTCCCGCCTTCACATCTTCAATGTCTGGAACGTATCGGTAAAACAAGAGCATGTAACATAACATATATTATGCAACTTTTAATTCCAGTCATGAACACTCACCTGCGTGAGTTGTATTGTGGACTGACAAATAGTTTCAACATAATGTTCCTTATTGTCCACTCGCAAATGTCACAAGCATGAGTGGGAATGCAAAAATGTTCTAGCTGTTCAACCACGGACCTCGTGTTAAGTTTATCTTAAGTTCTTCTTAAGTTAAGTTCTTCTTGTAATGTCTTCTCTCTTGTACCTGTACTTGTTCTTTTCTTTAAGATTTTTGCAGATTGTGATAAAGGGATTATCAAAATAAACCTCCACCCCTTCTCCATCAGAGGAGCAAATCATTTCAAGGATGAAGCACGCCTCAACATGTCAAAATGTTCTGATGTTTTCTCGAGTGAGACAGGGTCAAATATCCAAAAATGAACCTGTTAAGGGCATGTGAAGAGTCACAGGACAAAAATTCTAAGATGGAAGGATGTAGAGCATGCACATCTCCGAAGTGACGTATATGCTTGCATGCTGCTACGTCTCGAGAATTCTGTGAATTGGCCACGCGCAGACGAATCGGCGAATTTTCCTACCATGTTGTCTGTCGGGAAGTGATAGGACCAGCAAAGTTTCATGTGAAGAAAAACGTTTGGGACGACCGATCGTTGTCTGACTTATTCATATATCCAAGAAAATAAACTAAAAAGCCTCATCCTCAAAGTGCCTGATATAAAGGCACCAAGCCAGATTGCGGACCGAAGAAGGCTTGAGTACCATCGTCACATTTTTCTATCATTGTCATATCAACTTGAAAAGAAAACAACCGTGAAAACAAACAACAGCAGGAACAACCGTGGTTGTTTTCCCCAATTGGGACGATGATGAGAGGAAGGCGAAGTCAAGTGCGCGACGTAAGAATATTTAAACTAATAGCATTTTAGTTTTACTGCATTCAGAACTATTTAAAGAAAATGCAACGTGCAATGAGGAAGTTAAAGCCGCGAATCCCGTGTTCACTTTTTAGTTGAAATTAAGCTCATTTCGGAATGGTTTTCTGCTGCACTTTTCCCAAAAACCTTCGAGTCCTGCCTCCCCCATTCAACTTCCCTCGTTAGCGCCACTTTTACATAATATCTATATTTCCATTTCAGCTGGCCAGCGCCAAAATATCCATTCACTAATTGGCCTCATGAAACATTCACGGCATCTCGAGGCCCGATCGGAACATCTCAAGCCCGAAAATGGGCAATGGGGCGAGGGAGCAAGGGGAGTAAGGACAAAGGAGGGCGTAATCATGGGAAATACATCAGCAGGTGCCTCTCGCAGGCAACACCGCTTCACACCGCTTCCGTCAGCCTGATGAGCCCGCGTCACGTGAACGCAGGTCACGCGCACAAAGGATGATGCATCGCGGGCCATCAGCGGCGACTGCCACCCAAAGCGTGGCATTCGCTCCTTGTCCATCGTGCTATTTCTATCGCGGCCATCGAATTGATGGATTCATGCGACTTAAACATCACTGGCATGAATGACGCCGCTCAATGTGGCATAACGAGGACAACACGGTATGGACGAAGCTAGTAGTTCGTCGTTTCGAAGAGATGATGAGCATTTCTTGAAGAAATGTCACGTTTGTATAAGTTTAAAAGCGACAAATTAATTTATAATTCATGTTTTTGCCCACTGAGATATTCGTGGGCGATTTGGCGTGCCTAATGCATATTCTAAAATATTGGACTGCAAAAAATTGCAGCAAGCAGGCAAAACGAGATTTTAATCACTTAGTATACAGCGGTTGAGCAGCGAAATCTTCCTTTTTGGATTAGTGAAGTTAACTAGAAAAACTGCCGCTAAGTAGCTAAGCCTAATTAAGAAAACATTACATTCCAGGCAATAAGACAAGGCTAAGACTTCCTCATATAATTATTGATATTTTCCAATTTCCTCTTTTTATAGTTCTAGGAAATAGATATTGCTGATGGATCCAACCCAATCGGGGCACGATGTCCAGTTTTAAGTAGAAAACCAGGTGTTCATTCTGATGTGCTTTTCAACGCTTCTTTGGTTGAAAGGCGCTCTGAATCTTTTTTTTTTTCTTAATGAAGGTTACCAAACCTGGTGAGTTTGGCGAAGCAGCGAAGGTCATTTGGATAAAACTGGAAGTAAATTGATCAAAATGTACCAAGGGAGTAAATGTGATCGCCGAAAGGGACAATAAGGGACAAATGCCACTCGTTTGTCATGGAAGCAGTCAGCTTGATCGATTTCAACGTTTTTCATGTCTATTGGTATGTATTGGCATGAATTGACTCGTATGCTTTGATATGGATGCATTGACTTGCATGCACTTACTCAAAACCGTGAAAAAGAAAGCGCAGCTGGCAAGACATCTGACAGTCACTCGAACAAACAATGCTTTCGCGATGGAAATGAGATGGCGCCTAAGTCGCCACAAAGGCCATCCTTCCCCGGTGAATCCCGGAACTTCTAATTAAAAAAAGAGCCCGCATCAGCAAATATGAGTTCAAAAGCGTCCACCTCCGCGTGATGGCGTTCATCTTGATTAATAAAATACAATGAGGATGGAACCGACCCTATTTGCGGAGGACCAAGCACCGCAAGGGATGATTCCAGGCAGTGGCGATTCAGGGACCAACTTCTCTTCGTAGTGGGAATCTTGTTTTTATCTGAGTAACTACCAGAAGGCGGGTCTGCTGCTCAATTTTTTCATTACACAGCTTTAACCTATAGCTCTTGACCTCTTGCACTGATTGGATCGAGACCATCAACATTTGTATCTTGCCATTCAGAGTCAATCTAATAGCACCGGAGACGTCAATAGACGCGTTAGGACACTTTCTATCTTCTATTGGAAAATTATGTCTTTCGATAAATTACTGAAAACTACTCGCCTGGGAAAGTTCTGATCCCATGAGACCCACACATCCTCGGATGCTGAGGAATAAATATGCAACATTTGCATTTCACCTTTGATATCCAACAGTTTGCCTGTTGGAGCGGTGTTGGGCAACTTATGGACCGTGGGCCAGACCTGGCCCGTGAAGCGATTTCATTTAGCCCGCCAAGAAAAGATGTTTATTTTATATTTCATTTATTCTTTACTTCACCTTCAAACAGAATAATAATTCTGTTGGAATATTTACCGTTACAGACTCAAAGACCGAAATACATAACAGTATCCCAGAGTTCTCCCAGAGTCAGTGGTGTAGCCAGGGTTTCGGCAAAGTGCAACTTCTGGTTATGCGTTCATACTTGAACCGTCATCGTCGAACCATCACCAGAGACCTCGCGAAATTACGAAAGGGTGATACGTTTTTACAAGCGTATCGTGCTTATACAGGGTGTTTCAGTCAATTAGTCACCATTTTGAAATAATATAAGACATGAAGAATAAAAGTTACCATGATGACTCTCCTACCTTTCAATAGAGCAGACTTCAAAGTTTTTTTGTGCAGTTGGCAATCCTAACTTGATGTCATTCAGTATGAGCAGGTCAACAACTTATTAAATTTCGTCACCTCAAACCGCTATTCACACATGTTCATCAGTGGTTCGCTGTGGCCCCCAACTAGCCCCAACATCAACCAAAATGACTTTTTCTGTTGGGAATACCTAAATGAAAAAGTGTCCAAGAGAGTTGCTGGGCCAGTCCCTGAACAAGCAATAATGGACTGTCTGTTAAATTGACAGTGAGATGCTGAATAGCTTGATGAATGACATGCTTGCACATCTCCGTGCTGTCAACAATGCCCGTGTTTGTCACATTGAGCATACCATGCGCATGAACTTTGAAGGTTTGAAAACTTTGAAGTCTGCTCTATTTAGTGGCTTGTGAATCACCGCTATAGCTTGAATACATTAAAACTTATATCACTTTAAAATGGTGACTAG